TTTGCTACTCTTTTATTTATTTATTATTCTTACTTTTCTTTAATCTTATTTAAATATTTAGTAATCTACCATACTCTCTCTAATTGCTGAAGAGCGCTGTGTGGCGACGGGGCTCGACGGATCTTGAACTCGATTGGCCCCCTTCACCCTACTGGTCGCCGAGGACCTCGGAAGCGGGCGCGGCGAAGTGACAGGCGCCGTAGGCCATGGCTTCAGCGAACAGTAGGTAGCCCCTCCCCGGGTTATCTCCTAACACCGTGTGCGCAAGTGTGAATCACTCGGCACATAAAGAAGATCCTTACCCCGTGAATGCACAAGCAAGTAGCCTTCTTGGATCCGATAATGCGAAGGCACCGGATTCGGAGAGGAGCAATTCGCGTACTTGTCGCGAAAGTGGGGGTCGGCTTGATAGCCGCGGATAAAGCTCTCCCGCAAGTCGTCGTCAATCTCGAAGGTAGAGTAGACTGCGGTGCAAAAATCCGGTCGCCATGAGAGGGCGTCCACAAAACGGTTTGACTTCCCGGGAATGTGATCGGGGAAAAAGTCAAACTGGTCGATGAAAGCCATCCAACGGGCAATGGTACTGTTAATCGTGTCTTGCGACTTGAAGAATACCAACGGATTGTTATCCGTTACCCATCGGAATGCTTTCCGATCAAGGAGGAAATGTCGCCAATGCTTGAGGGCGTGGACGAAGGCAAGAAACTCCTTCTTTCGTGCGTCGTCGATCGAATGCACGGGAGGCACTTTCTTGCTAAAGTACTCGACCGGGTGCCAGTCCGTGCCGTCGTGCTGCTCCAGGACGGCCCCAATGCCATAGCCCGACGCATCGGTAGTGACGCGCGTAGCTAAAAGCGGGTCGTAAATATGTAACACCTCGGCGGATTAGAGTGCCGCTTTGAGTGTTTCAAAGGAATGGCGAGCATCATCGTCGAAGTCAAAAGGCCGCTCCTCGCTTTGTAACTTGCTTAGGTTGACCGCGATCTTCGAGTAACCCTTGATGAAACGCTGATAATAGCCGGCCAAGCCGAGGAAGGATCGGACGTCCGTCACATTCTTCGACTCGGGCCACTCGTGGATGGCTTGAATCTTGTCCGCCAACGGACGAATGCCTTCCGGAGATACAAGATGACCCAAGTATTCAAGCTCTTGCCGGACAAACTCGCATTTGTCGCGGTTGGCTTTGTACCGGGCTGACCGAAGAGCCTCTAGAACACGGCGAAGGTGCTCGAGATGCTCCTCTAGAGTTCGACTATAGACGAGGATGTCGTCTAAGTAGACCAAAACAAAACGGTCCAACATAGCGCGAAACTCGGTGGTCATGGCCGCCTAAAAGGTAGCCGGGGCATTGGTGAGGCCAAAAGGCGTAACTACCCACTCAAAGTGCCCATATCGCGTCTTAAACGCGGTTTTGTACCGATCTTGCGGGCGGAGAGAAATCTGATGATAGCCCGACTTGAGGTCAAACTTCGAAAAGTACTTGGCGCCGCCCAACCGCTCAAGCAAATCGTCAATGCGAGGTAAAGGCCCTGCGTTCTTGATGGTTTGCGCGTTGAGGCGTCGGTAGTCAATGCAAAGTCGAAGGTCCTTGTTCTTCTTCCGAACGAAGACAACGGGCGCACCATAAGGCGAGCTGCTAGGGCGGATCCAACCCTTGTCAAGAAGATCATCGAGTTGCGCACGTATAACCGTGAGCTCCTCCTCGGACATGCGATAAATGCATCCCTTAGGTGGCACGGCGCCGGCCTCAAGTATGATCTAGTGAGAGATCGGCCGGTCCGGTACTATGCCAGAGGGTGTCTCAAAAACATCCGAGAACTCGTCTAACAACCGGGTCACACGGGGGTTGAAAGACAAATCCATGGACGATGAGTCGGTCGTCAGGACGGTTCGAAAAAAAATGATGTCAATCTCTTCGACATGCTCGGAACGGCATATGTCGCGAAAAGATTTGGCACTCACGACTTGGCACCGAATGGAAGAGCGAGGAGGAGGAATAGTACACGGGACCTCGGCGCCAGTTGCATCACGAATCGTGAGCGTGCGTCGATGGAAATTGACCCTGTGGTCCGCTCTAGAAAGCCACGACATCCCCAAAATGACATCGAAATCGGTGTCCAACACGTCAAAAGTGACGGGTTCACATGCGTGCGGTGCAAAATACACCGGGACAACCGAGATGTAACGGTCTAAAAGCTGTTTCGTCTTACCGTCGGCAAGAGCTACCGCATTCGGAAGTGACTTCCTCCGTACTTGTGCCCCAAGGCCAGCCCGAGTCATGAAGGACTGGCTGATGAAGTTGCGAGTTGCGCCGCAATCCAGTAAAGCGTTGCAGGCCGCTTGCCCAATTTGAATGCGGACGTAGAGCAACGGTGCGTTGTTTTCTTCGTACCGTTGCGAGGCAAACTCGCGGACCACCTTGGCAACATAGCCAAGCATGTCCCCCACCACGACTTCGTCTACCGTCGGCGAAGTTGGTGGTGCATGGAAGGAAAGATACTCGTGTAAGAGGGCGCATAGTGCTCCGCTTTGCGGCTTTGCGGCCCCGGAAGGTTGCCCGTCGTAGGGAGAGGAACCCAAGCGAAGTCCTCGGGCATGAGCGGGTCCAAAGCCTCCTCGTTGAACACGCTTGCCGAATCCCTTGATGAAGACGAAGTGGCAGAAGAACCTTTGGACGGTGAGAAAGCCGCACATGTATCTTGTCCTTGAGAAGCATCCAGTGAAGGAACGAGCCGGGCAGCGAAGTCTTCGAACGAAAGTGGAAGACTCTCGACATCCGCATGTGCCTCGGAAGAAAGGGCAGTCGCGCGCGCAACCGCTTTCGATGGCGTCGAGGGAGTTGTCGAGTCATCCTCGGCGGCGCCTAGTTTCCCGAACGGGATTTCCCCTTGGTGGGGCAATGAGCAGCATCGTGGATGGTGCTATTGCACCAAAGACAATAACGGTACTTGAGTCTCGTGCGGTAGCTATTCGCCGAGAGTCCGTATTGGCGCCAAGGTTCGTCGGCTGCTGATCCGGTGCCCGGTGTAAAGGTGGACTGAGTCTTCGTCTTGTCGCGACCGGCCGGCCACCATCCCGGGCAGCTGCCAACACCTCACCCTCGTCTGGTGTTGCAGCCTCGGTAGAAGTAATGCAAGCCACTTTTGGCTTGGGCTGGCTGCTGCTCGACATCGCGGAAGATCGGCCGGCGTTGCGGGCCTTGACATTCGTAAGAATGATCCGTGACGCTGTGCCGAAAAGCTTGTCCGACGTGTCGAGTGTCTCTGCAATCTGCGTCAGTGCGTTTTGCAGGGCTGGACACGAGCGCATAATGAACAAGTGTTTGATGCCGCGGAATGCCAGCGGCAGGTCGGGTGTGGAGGCGAGTCTTTGGAACTCGGTAATCCAATCCTGACTGAGCATCGTGTTCTGATGGAGCTTGTTGATCTTCTCCATGGCTTGCAGGTCGGGCAGCTCCACTTGGAATCGCTTGTGCCAGGCGTCAGTCAACTCTTGCCAAGTGAGCTTGGTGTGCAGTTCCGACAATACTACGCCGTGGCTATTCAATATGTTGTCCAACCATGCTTGACATGCACCACCAGATCGGTGATACAAGCACGCATGTCGATCGTTGTTCAGGACATGGTGCATGTCGATCCTGAGAGTGAACTGGCGCCACCACGGGATCGGTTCGTCTTGGACTGATCGCAGAAAACTGGAATGTCATCCAGTTTTGGTGGGCGTCGGGAGGATGCGACCGCAGGTGTCACGGCCGCAGCGGCCTGGAACTGCGTCTCCAACTGCAAGTTCGTTGCTAGTTGTGACGTCCGGAAGTCCTGATGCACCCGCTTAATGTGGTTGACATCATCCTCCAAAGTTTGAACACGGGTGGCAAGGTTAGAAGGCTCTGCGGCTGCTACAGCAGCTGGCTGTTTCTCCAACGCCTGCAGCCGTGCAAGCATCTGGTCCACTGTCTGCTGCAGGTGGAGGATTTCCTCCTGCTGCAGAGTGAAGGTGGCCACGAGGTCATGGGAGATCTGCGCAACGGTGGACAGCCCTTTGTCAGTCTCCGAGGCTGCGTCCCCAGATGCCATTTCCACCCAATGTGCGGTCTCATCACCGATCACGGTCTCCCGCGTGAACAGTCGTTCCCGCTGGCGTGACCGGTGTCCAGCTGCAGCCTGCAGGTCTGCCTCCTCCTGACGAAGTCGGTTCTGTTCCTCCAACTGGTGCTTGGCCTCCTCTTCTTGCTCAATCCGGTTACGTTCCTTGGCCGGGGCGGCGGCCCTATCGTTGGCCTCCTGGATGAATGCCGCCAAGCATTCCTCATAGGCAAGGATGGATTCTCCCGCCTTCGGGTCCATGTCCTTGGTCTGTGGTCGGGTGACCCTCCTCTGATAGAGGTATGCGAGTCTTGCGCGTGATCATCTGTAACTCATCGCGAGCCGGCTTCGATGCCGCCAGGTACTCCAGAATAGAGCATTGCATGGGCTGTCGAAGAGCCCTCCTCAGTGGCTCGACCGTGTCAATCTCATCCAGCGAACTCTTCATTAAAAACTTCTTCACTCCCCGTTTTCGCGGCGAAAGGATAACCTCCTCTCCATCAACTCGTTGTCCGCCCTTCTCTGCCATCACGTAGTCCGTGTCAGTCTTCTTCGACGTAGACCCTCTTGCCGACTTCGTGGCCGCCACTCTTATGGGTGTGGTCGCCATG